TTTCCACAAAAAAAAAAAAAAAAAAAAAAAAAAAAATGTCAACAAGTTTTTTAAATTTTTTTTTAAACAAAAGAAGAGCCTAATGTTTCGGAAAAGATGCCAACAAGTAATGCCTCAGAGAAGAAATGTTCCTAACCATTCGGCGATTTCTACATCCAAAGAATAGAAGTGCAGGACCAAGTTGAGCACCCTCCTCTTTGAGGGCCATTCTTTCCTGAAAAAGGAAAAGAAAAATGGGTACGCTTGTTCCTTTGTAAATATGTAAATATGTGTAAGAAGTTGAAACGCAATTCCCCACCTGTAAAAATCCTCTGAAAGGTGCTAAGCCAGTTCCAGGTCCCACCATGATAACTGGGATTGAATGATCAGCTGGTAACTTGAAATTAGATTGCCTAATAAAAATAGGAGCCCAGCTAGGATTTTGGCTCTTCTCAAGAGACACTGCATTCTGATTTATTAAAACTTGAGTTTAGATGCTATTAAAGCTAAACCATCTACTAAAAGAGTTGATAACCGATTTTGAGTGTTGCAGAAACCAGAACGATTACTATAATGTGGGATGATAAAAGATAAAAAGTGCATCAACTTCACGGCTCAAAAATACCTTCATCCAGGTTGAACACACTCCTTTGTGAATTCTTCCAGTAGGACTTGGACCATATACCAAAGCGCATGTAACATGAACACGATGGGGGGCAAACCTGTCCCAAAAGAAAAAGAAAATACTTTTAGACCTAATTATCCATAAAACTATCTAAAATACCACAAGAGAAAAAAGAAATCACCTTGGTGAAGATGAGATTGAGTAGTAACGAGGCTGCAAGCGAGGGGCTACTGCAGCAAAAAACACACCAAGTGGAGGCTTTGCTGACGGGAACTCAGCCATAATCTCAAGAAGACTTCTTTGACTTCCAACAACCCATTTTGAGTACTCATCCTGAATAACAGAGAAGCATGACCAACATAAACAAAAAGCAAGAAACACATTTGAGATAAACAGCATGAAAAAGGACAAGAGTTTCATGATAGTTAAACCTTCCCCTGAGGTGATGATAAGAACTTAAGTTTTTCTGCTTCACTCGGCTCAACAGCATGTGCAGCCAAAGCAATTAGAGCAGCCTGGTGACACAAATGATTGAAAGGAACTATTTCAGAGGAAAAAATACATATAACTTGGGGATGCAATTCACTTCACAAGCTCTAAATTGCTTGAACATACTTTTCGAGGTGGGTTTAACAGATCAGTATAACGTGCCAATGCACTGCGCAGTGTGCACGGACCAGGGAAAGGTGGAGGCAATGAATTCCCAAGGGGAGAGCCATCCTCATTGTCAGTGTGGATAGAGAATAGAAGATCTAAAGGTTGACCCAACAATTTTGCAGCCTCTTCAATGGTTTCATCGCAATTCTCAGCATAAACACCCACATGGTCTCCTGTTTCATATCTGAGGAAAAAGAAAGGAAAACTCATCATCATTCAATTTAATAACAGAACTAATAGAGTAATAGTGGTACAAAAACACTAATTCCAATTTCCAATTTTATTATTTGCTACAAAATAAAGTTTGTGCATGTCGCAACAACCCCCATTACAATTCAAGATAGAGGTAAAACCTCAATAACTCCCTTTCACTTGTTCAACATTTTCTGATCACATTTTTGAAATCCAATATAATTTATCAGCACACTTGCCTAAAAAATATCTGGTGGCTCACCTTCAAAACTCTTCAATTATCATTACGCTGATTGTTAAAACATTCTATAGTCTATACTAGGAAATAAAGGTCATAGGTTCAGATATTCGAATCACTGTAATTATATTTCTCCCTGACCACATAAAATTCCATATTTCACTTTTTTATTCTTGTACTTGAACGCCCATTTGGAAGGCATGGAACAAAGTCTCTAACAGAAGCAGTGAATATGTGAGGAACTTACTTTATACCAGTTGCAGATATATCAAATTCCAGATGTATGCAGGATCTGTCAGACTCGGGCTTGTGAAGTTCTTTTTGGACAGCGACATTTACTCTTCATCCAATTAGTAATTTAAAATGTTTATACAAAGAAAATGGAACAGGCTAGTTTCACTTAAACAAAATATCTTTGAAAGAACCAGAAAAGGCCATATCTTTGGATACCTGCAAGGATGGTGAATATCAAAAGAAGTGTTTCCATTCGGCATACTTAAGTAATTATCCTCAAAAGAGGCAACACTAGGATCATGAATAACAACCCAATACTCGGGGACTGCAGCTGTATATGGAGTAGATACAGTAGTTGTATCATCTTCATCTCGAAGTATTTGATCCAACTCAGGCCACAACAATTCTCTCCTGGATAATAGGAAATATACCACGAATAATCATGTGAAACCAAGTCTTCTTCAAATTAATGCACCATAGAAAAGGACAGACAGAAGAAAAAGCAAATGCAGGACTATAGCATACCAAGCAGAAAAATCATCCTCAATGCACTGATCATCATCACCTAGGCCAAGTGGAACGAGACGCTTTGCACCTGCATCCAATCACATAGGAGACGATTTAGAAAAATATAAACAAATGGATCAACTCATGCAAGTAATTATGCAACAATAAAATGAATTGTTCAGAAGCAAATGGCGAGTAGATATCAAACCACGGGCTAAAATATTAGAGAGAGAGAGAGAGAGAGAGAAGCAAATAACGCAAGTAGTCAAACAAGTAGAATATGTATCCCAGCAAAGGGTTTAGAAATTCAAGAATTAAAAATTTTATCATCCCCTCAGCTATAGAACTAATCAATATGATATGTAGTAGGAACATCATTAACAGGGTATCATCAATAAAGCTTAAATGAGCTTGTTAATACCTTGTTCACTCAGTTGCTCATCAATCACCTTCCCAATCTGTTCCAAAATGGGTTTCATCAGATGCAAGATATCACAAAAAATGGATGAGCAAAAGCATACAATGAAATTTACCTTATTGAAATGTTCATATTGTCGGTTACCCAAACCAAAAACGCCATATCTGAGTTGTTGAAGCCAGCTAGCCTTATTGTCTCCCTGAAGAAGAAATCTAAGTAAGATACATCCAACAACAAGCATACTAAAATGCCACCATTCCAATGTTAAGTAATTTTACATAAAATAAAAAATAAAAAAAATAAAAAAGAAGAAGAAGAAGAAAAGAAACAAACTACTAACCTCAGTAAACCATTTGTAAAATCTTGCTGCATTATCAGTAGGTTCTCCATCTCCATAACTAAAATGTGAAACATTAAATACCTTAGCTTCGAAAACACCAAAAAGATTTTAACTTTCAAATGCTAGTAAAATCTAAGTGTTTATCTTACGTGGCCACCATGAAAAACGCCAGAGTCTCTTTCTTTAGTTTTTCCTCATATTGATCATCATCCACAGCATAATCATCCTAATTTCAACCATATATAACGTGAGATAGCTAATCATGCATCCAAAAAGCCCACTCTCTTGCAATTATACAATCTCAAGAGAAAAATGCATCCCCACCTACCATGTCAACAACTTTGACAACTGCTTTTTCATATCTTGCCCTGATCTCTTCTGCTAAAGCCTGATGGAGAAACTCAAAGGAAAGCATATCAATTGACATTTGGATATAAAATATGACACCCAAGTAACTCTAGACTTCATGTCAATGTATGTGAAGTTCAAGTTCAGATCATAATGAAAGAACATAATAAACTAAAAGAACTTTTTACCATATTTAACGGAAAAGTGGCATGACATTTCTTCTCACACTTTATGGCACTAAATAAGAAATTTATTTTCATAAAACATTATCCCAGCACAGTTATGGCCCAAAGAAGCGGCACCCTAAGGTTGTAATTGAATTTTAACACATCAAGAGACCAATTTTCCCCACACATTCAAATCCAAGCAATTCCCCTCATGAACAGTCAACCGTCTTAAACTACAACGGTAATGTTAGAAACAATTTGAAAAAGCCCTATTCTTCAGCGCAAAAGTCAATGACTACTTCTCAGAAAACGCGACAAAGGCCGACTTCAAGTCAAAGCCTTGATCCAAATTGTTATTTGACACAGATTACTGGATAATACGATTGCAGTTTCGAAAAACAGACAAGGAATATCTCGTATCAAACTGTAGTTAAACAAATGTATCACTCTGTGGCACTCAAAAAAAAAAAAACAGCATTCAGCAGTATCTCGCCATTGACAATGTCATACAATGTATCACTCTATGTACAGTTGCCGGTATTAAAATAAAAAAGATTATTTCTATAAAACCTTACACCTAGCTCAATTATAGCCTAAAAACGAAGCACCCCAGGATTATAATTGAAATTAACACATGAAGAGACCAATTTTCCCCAAAGAGTCAAATCCAAGCAATTCCCCTTCTTAGCATGGAATGAACAGTCAACAGTCCCAACCTTCAACGGTAACGTCTGAAACTGTTTGGAAAGGCCCTATTCTTCAGCGCCAAAAGATATGGCTACTTCTCAGAAAATGCAAACTTCGAGTCAAAGCCTTGATTTAAACTTTTATTCGACCCAGATTACAAGAGAACACAATTTCAGAAGCCAAAAACCGGCAAGGAAATTCATACATCAAACTGTAGTTGCACCGAATGAATTCTGAAACACAATGAAAAACAGACGAGAATGTTCATTCGACTCATACCTTGGCAAATCCCTCGGCGGTACCAGTCTGAGTTCCATAAAAAACAGTGACCTTGGTCTTGCCAGAGGCGAGCTCAACCTCGTTGTCTTCGTCCTTCACCAGTAGTGGCTTCGGCACCACCACCGGCTTCACCTCTCTGCTCCGATCCGACGATCTCCTCCAAACCAAGACCAGAAGTCCGAGAATCAGCGCCACGGCGGTCGTGGCGATCACAATCACGGAGTCCGTCACCGGAACCCCAAGCAACGACTCCAGAGTTCGCACCAGCTCCGAATTCGAACTCATCGCGACGAAAAGTTCCGATGCAATCCAAATTCGGAGCTCAGAGACTGCCAATCGAATCGACCTCGATGGTTCTGCAAGTTTCTCGCTCTAGGTTTTTCGCTCTCTGCATAGAGAGTTTGGTGAGCGAGAGAGCCCGAGAAGATAGAGAACAGAGAGAGAGAGAGAGAGAGAGAGAGAGAGAGAGAGAGAGAGGTGAGATTAACCAGAAGTTTATTTGTTTTCCTTTTTTTTTTTCTTTCTTATTTGCCAGTGAAAATTGAGGCTTCAAAAAGAGTTTTATTGCAAACCTTTTTGGGTGTCTTTTGACAGCAATCAATCGTACTTTTCTGAGTTGACAATTTGTGAATTTTCACGTGGCACTTCTGTTTAAGGAAACTGCGGCTCCTTGTTTTTAATTTGTAATGAGATATAATTTTATATAAAATTTTTAATTATAATAAAAAAATTAAATATAATTTTTTTGAGAATTTTAATTATAATAAAATTAGAATTACAAATTTAAATAGTTAAAATAAACGATGCATGCATTTTCCTCCCCATTAATAGGGCAGTGGGAGTTTCGAGTTTAATCACTTTTATTGTTTTCATATTTTTCATTATATTCGAAATTATGGGCATATTTGATAGATCATATTTTGTATTGTATTGTTTAATAATAATATAATATTTAATTATATTTATACATTGTAAAATTTAATATGAGATTCAAAATTAATACAATACAAAGTGTGATATTTAATATGAAAAAATATATGTACTACACCGTATTATATAATTTAACTTAAAATACCATATTAAAAATATATAAAATATTTCACAAATATCAAGACTTGTGGTTGGATTTTGGGACTGACGTTGGGGTCGAGTTCTGGACCTATTTATTAAAAATTATATTTTGACCGTTAAACTTTTTAAAAATTATATTTTGACCCTTAAACTTTTAAAAAACTAATGTTTTGACTCCATTTTTTTTAAAATTATATTTTGATCCCTCAACTTTTTAAAAATTATATTTTTACCCCTTAATTTTTTAAAAATTACACTTTGAACCCATTTGCAAAAAGACCCCTATATAGCAACTCTACTTTCTCCCTTACTTCCTCCAAATGTTGGGTTTGGGTCGAGATTAGAGACATTAGGTTATGATTATACTTAAATTTTATCTTATTACAAACTAATTTGTAAATAGATTACAATGGCAAAAATAATATAATGTTTAATAATACTACTAACCAAACACTGTATTGTATAAAAATTATGAAATGCAATACAATACAATATAATACAATACGGTGCATCAAACATACCCTATATGTGTAATGGCTTCCACGTCTTTCTTCTCTTTTCAATTAGCCAAAACTTTTATATATTGGTAGAAGAACTTTAAAACTATTAGGGCGTGTTTATTTGACCATATTAGAATAATATATTTGGTATTACCATTATATTGTATAAACTAATACGGATGGTACATTAATAGGATCTATGTCGTATTATTGAATATGATTCATTTTTTTGCATATTATATTTTATTATTTTATAATATATCAATGATTCATGTCGGGATTGGACACAATTAGGAGTCGGATTGGGTCGACATAGGCTCATGCCAGACCTATAATTGTTGAAAAATTGAAGGGCACAATGCAAATTTATATTTTTAAGAAATTACATTTTGACGTCAAAACTTTTATAAAATTACATTTTGACCCCAAAACTTTTGTAAAATTACACTTTGATCTCAAAATTTTTAAAAAACCTTATTGACGCCACAACTTTTGAAAAATTATATTTTAACCCTAAAATTATTAAAATTTTACATTTTAACCATTTATATAATACGTCATGATACCAAACACCGTATCGTATTGTGATAATACAACACAATACAATACAAGCTACCGAATATGACCTTAGAGTGTAGGGGTATAATCGTATTGAAAAATATTTTTTAGAGAAAGGGGTGCCTTTATAAAAGAATGGGATGTGAATAAAATTTTTCAATTTAACTACGTAATGCTTCGCGCAGCTTCAATAGTTCTTCTACTTCTAGGATAAATTCTCTCATCTGTGTCTCATAAAAAAACTAGCAGGTTGATAGATTATTATCCTAATAATATAATAAATAATTATTCTATCTCATATGATAAAAGACAAAAAATAATAAAAAATAATATAATAAAAAAAAGATAGAACTGAACAACTATTTGTCTTTTTTATCATTTTATGTGAGTGCCTTTTGTAATGAGAAATTTTAATTTACAGAGGACTTTGAAAGTAAGAGAAGGTCTTTGAGTATAACCATTTTTTTATAACCCCCACTCGGTATTTCTTATTTCTTATCCTTTTTTATCTTTTCTTTCCTCTTTCTTTTACAATTGTCGGCAATAGGATTGTGTGTGTGTGTTTTTTACCGATTACGGTAGAATTCTTTTTTTTTTTTTAAACAAAAAAGAAAAATACGCGAGCATTATTTTCAATCACCGATCACGTCATTGACATAGTGCTGCGTCGTTGAGACTTGATGATGCTCAACGCCTTTAATGTGGAAATAAATTCCAATAAGTTTAACTCAATTTAAACTGTAAATAGAGTTTAAATTAATATTTAATAAATATATAATTTAAATTATAATTTGTTTGAACTTAGTTAAACAGTCTAATTTAAAATTTAGTTCCTTTTCAAGCTTAATTATTCAAATAAATTTTAAACAATAAAAAGATATCCACTCTCTTTGTTTTTCACACCTACAAAACACAAATAAAAATTTCATTCCATGTTTAAATGAAAACTTTAACTGTACATTCAGATGTCAATTTAAACTACAATTTAAATCACACAGTTAAATTTTTATGTTCAAATCAAAATGTTTAAATTAATAAAATTCATACCAGCAAATCAAACAGGGCATTATTTCCCTTGCCCTTATTATTGGCGAACATGTATTTGGTTGAGGAAACTACTATTTATTATTTTTGTTTCTTTTCACATCATTACAAAAGTGTTTTAAGAGACGTTTGGTTCATGAATTAGAATAATGAGATTAGAACAATTTTTAATTTACGTGTATTTTTTGTGAGAGAAAACACTATAATGAACTATGAACTGATTAGAATCATGAGATTAGAACAATTTTCAATTTACGTGTATTTTTTGTGAGAGAAAACACTATAATGAACTATGAACTATGATTCGAATCAAGATATAAATCCTCTTACCAAACACACCCTTAATATTTACTACTGCTAAAATGGTATTTTATGATTCTAAAATTTTCCATCCGAGTATTTCAAGGAACCTTTCAAAAAGAGAAGTATCTTTCTTTTTTCTTTTTTTTTTTTAGTTATTTCAGTCTAAAAACAAATTTAAAAGCATGACAATTCTAAATAAAAAGGACATTACGTCCACGGAAAAAAATATTCAAGTCCCAGGATTTTACGTTTTTCAATATATTTTTACAATGAAAGAGTAATGGATATTGTTCATCCTACAAGACGGTGTCATTATATACCTATACAATAATGCAAAACAAAATACAAATGGGATGATATATATATATATATATATATGTGTGTGTGTGTGTGTGTGTGTGTGCGCGTGTGTGTGTGTGTGTATGTATTTTCATTTGGTTATTTAGCAGTCCTTTGGTACAGAGCGGTTGCAAAGCGATAAAAACAAGATGGAACGACGTAGATGTCAACAAAAATCGTAAACGACATCCATTTAGTACAAAGTAAAAAAAAAAAAAAAAAAACAGTAATTTGAAAACGACTAGTCTTACCCTAAAAAAAAAAACCGACTAGTCCAAGACCAAGAGAACAGCAAACGAAAAATGATAGCAACTATAAATAAAAACCACAACTGCAGAAACATATAAAAACGACCATAAACAAAAAACGACAATAAAGTGAAAAACGACAACTCAAAATAGCACAGGTAAACGGTAACAATATTCATGAACTGACATTTAAAGTAAAAACAACAATAATATGAAAACATAAAGTCGAAGACAACAAGAAACTGGAGAGGAAACTGCCAAGTTAACGCGCCAATAACAAGAGAAAAATTCAACAATAAACTGGAAAATAAAGTAACAAACAATGACAACCTGAAAACGACAAATGGAAGAAGACATTTAAACATAAACAACGACTAATTAGTAAAACGTAAAAGGGATATTACTATTTCATACCTTGTATTTCAAGCTTATTGAAAATATATACTTGAGAAATAGGTTTTGAGACCTGAATTTGATTTACCCTTATGAACTTTTTTTTTTTTTTTTTTGGCTGAATGATTTATCCTTATGAACTTGTAAAATCAGACACCAATTGATGAATTTAGCATTTGTAGCTTCACTTGAATTATACAATTTATATGATTGATTCTTTATTTTCTAAAACATAACACCTAATTCGTATTTGGTAATAGGTTTGCATGCAGAGAATAAATTCCTCAATTGATGAATCAAAATAGTGTTTACCTAAAAAAAATTTACAGATTTAACATGAATAAGAAATTATTAAGTTTGAGAATATTCAAAATATATAGTAACGTTTTCTAATAACTTAAAATACAACAAACTCAGGTACAATTGTACAACATACATAAAAAAAATGTAGTCATAAACAGAGAGAACAAGTTATGGCACACAATAACTTGATTTCAGACCATTTAATTTCTTGTTCTACCAATACAAGTTATCATCATCTCAATCAGGATAAAGTTTTCTTGGCTTTTTTCTTTCCTTTTTTTTTTTTTTTGGTAGAAAAAATAATTGTAGGCAATATATTTTATAATAGGAGCATTTGTACGCAATATTTTTAATAAGAAAAAAATTATACCCAATCTTATTACTTATTAGTCTTTTCTTACGGAACTTTATTTTATTTTTTACTAACATCGTGGAATCTTAATGAAAAGAAATATCTTATGAATAATTAAGAAAACAAAACGTCTAGGATTATCCCAATGGTATTGAAAGGTTCTACCAGCTTTGACATAACTATAAGCTTCCCTCACGCAATTAACTTTCAACATTGCAGCTCCAGGGATTAAAGAGCGCAATGACACGCATCATTTTATCACGTAAAATTTACCATAATTAGCATTATAAATGTACATGCGTGAAAAGATTTGTAGATTTTAAAT